AGGTTCTCGAAAGATCTGGGACACAAATCTTGCTTTCAGCTTCTGCACTCAGCAGCTCGGTATCCCAAGTCCCCCGGCTTCTCTCTCTCATTGGAATCCAGGTCATCTTCATGCGCCAGGATGTAGTTGAAGCGTCGGAGCTCAGTCGAGACTTTGGTGTTGGAACACATGGGATGATGTGGAATCATGTCTCAAGAATCATCATTCACATGCATCTGTTTGCGCTAAACCCAAGTACAGATGCCTTAAGTGAGGGATGCTTTAAGCTTTCGCATCTCGTTTCACATCTTGTGGATGCCCTGCTGTTCGCTGCCACGAGCTGTTTCACATCTTCGCACTAGCTTAGTGCGGTGGCCTAGCCTGGGCCCTTATAGTGAACAAGGGCCCAGGCCACCGCGCTAAGCTAGTGCGAAGAGCGAAGCTAAGACTTGTGGAAGTCTGGCCGTTCGCGTTCGCTTGGTCGGGCACCATGCGCTGCTTTGTCACACCTCCCTGGGCAGGCAAAGACCATGGATGAGCAGCACGAAGAAGAAACATGAAGAAACACCACGACCCGTGTGCCACGTGTCCCGCCTTGTCATCTTGCAAGTCTTTGAAAGTTGAGCTATCTCAGTGATGGTGTCAACATCGACAACCATCATTGCTACAAACAGCCATCGTCTATCCAACTGAATGTAGAATCTTGCTTATATTTCAACCCCCAACATGAAGAGGTTTAATATCCAAATGGTGCTCGTTAATACTTTGCTTTATTAAATCAGGATATTCTACATTGTCCTACATGTGCAGTCGCACCGCTGGCATACCTGGCGGCTTTATGTAAGGTCCCTGCAATTCAACAGCCTGGCGGCGATGCCTGCAGTCATCAAACATACCAAACATAGCCAGCGTGCTATGTTGGTTTTTCATCGTCGGCTTGATGTTTGGTTTGATATGAAATACCTCAGTTGTTGGTTTTTCACCGTCGGTGTTGCTCTTCAATTCTTGCTGTCCGCCTGCTGTGCTGTCAATGAGGCCACCCTGCTGGTGCATGACCTGCAGCCACAGTGTGTGGTCGTTTTGAGGGCATCCGGGATCTGTGGCTGTTGGTCGGGGGAGCTATTTAAAACATAAGACACCAAACATCAAGAAACCTCTGCATCCCAACCAACTTGGCCAATTCTTGCGTTCACTTGTCGCACAGCCAATGAATAGCTTCGCTCGGAGTTCTCGTCTGTTCTCTTCTCTTGTATTCTGCCTTTCTCTCTCACTCACTCACTCACTCTCTCAGTCAGTCAGTCGGTCGGTCGGTCGGTCGGTCGGTCGGTCGGTCAGTCAGTCAGTCAGTCAGTCAGTCACTCTCTCTCTCTCTCTCTTTCTTCCTTCCTTCCTTCCTTTCTTTCTGTCTCTCCTCTCCCTCCCTCTCTCTCTCTCTCTCTCGCGGTTGCAAGATTGGACGTGGAACTTTATTTTGCTTGTGACGGTACATGCACAACCATATGTACTACTATACAGCACAGTTCACCCTAGATGCACAATTCTCTTCTGATCACCGGCGCAAGAGATATTGTAGGGAGAATGCTGTCTGCCAATCAATGCGTCCATCATGGGAGTCCAATGTGTTGAGTTGTTTCCAATCGATTCATCAACGGACGAACCTTGGGCGAAGGACTACGACGGACCCCCCAAGTCCCAAGCACTGGAGTACACTCGCGAGAGTGTGCCGAGCATGAAGGTGGCCATCAGATACATCACAAATGACCTCGGCCCAAGGCCCAAAGCCGCCCAGGCCACGAAGCAAGGTAATGCCCATCGAATCATACTACGAAGTCTATGACTTAGTCTGAACAAACAAAGGATCTTGAGGATTTCACGGCACCTGGAGCCAAATGAACACGATCGTCATACCTAGGAACTCGATGATGTTTCGGACTCACAACATCAACAACCATTGCTGCAAGCGGTGCTTCTCTGAGAACTGCACTCTCAAACAATGCCTCGAATGCACGTAGTAGTGCACGCAGCACGAATAAAAGCGATGAATTCACAATGAATTAAGAATGGCGAGAGTTGAAGTAGCACTTTGAAGATACTTGAAGGAATGCTGCCGGCTTGCATATGTGTCAAAGGAGGAAAACTCACCACCACTCTCAAAGGACACCTGAGAAGGCAAGTCTCTCTCTCTCTCTCTCTCCCTCCCTCTCCTTTTCCCATTTTTTTTAGTCATGCACACAACGTTTCTTCAAACATACTCAAGTACATACAACATCTCTTTGTCAAAAAAAAATAGAAATCCCCTGACCCCAAGGTGTTTTGCATCGGCATCTACTTAGTATTTTCCCCGGACCAGGTCTTCTTCAAGGGGGGGCTCCTGGCTCCTCCCTCTTCAACAAACAGTCCGTCAGTGCCATGTGCGCTCGCACGGAGCCTTGAGACCGTGGTATGTTCTGGTCCAGGAGACTGTAGGACTTGCCTCAAAGGGTCACCGATATTGTGTCATAACATGTCATAACATGATAAACATCATTACTTATAACAATGAACAGGAACATGTATGGTATGAAGTATGAAATAGATCAAACAATCTTTTTGCAACACACACACATCAATGTCATTATTTAACAACTGAAATATGCATGAAATTATGAGATTCAATCTCAAGTTTGAGGCCAGCATTTAAGAACATCGCCATCGTGCGACGCTTCTGCGTCCAGTCCCTCTTTGCTCTCACAGTGACACATGCAACCTCGCAGCAACTTCAGCTGAGCAAATCAGCAAGCTGAACAATCAGCAAGTAGTTCAGCAAGTCATAGTGCTAGGGTCGTGACTAAGCCATTGTTGCTCTTGATTCGGATGCGGTCGCTCTTTAGATCCATCTGGCAATAGCCCTGAGGTCGGCTTCGTTGGCGCGACCGGCGCGAGCGGCGACGTTGGCGCACCTTGTTGGTATAGAAGATGTGAATCTTCACGTCCGCACCAGTCAAACGCAGCCTGTCGAACGGTCTTGCCAAGCGGAAGTCTTCGCTTACTAGGGTTCTTGGTGTAGATGTGCAAGCAATATAAGTCAACAACATTCAACAACCGCTGCGACTTTGCCATGTCGGAGCAAATCATAAACTTCACACGTTGGTTGGATAATCTTGTATACAATCACCTCTACCAACTATAATTATAACTGAAGCTTTCGCTTTTAGACCAACACCACCCAAAACATACATCTCAAAGCGAGGTGGTGTTGGTTTCGTCGCCGCATGTCGCTGCACCCGAGAGAGCTCTAGTCATTCAGTCGCTTCGCATACAAAAAGCATTGCTGTAGTGGTCAAGAAAGGAGAAATTCGAAGATAGAGGGGTTCTTCAAGACCCAGCTTTTCAGTTGAGAAGTGTCCCTGTATTTCACTGTAGGCTTACTTCACTGCCACGATACTACTCGCAACACTCTCAAGTAGTCTTAAGACTTGTCACGTTGCCTGGCCCTAGTAGCGTTCGGACGCTATGCTTGGTGGAGGCCATCGCAATGCTCGGTTGGAGTCCATCGCTACGAACGGAACAAGATACTAGTAACAAAGGGCATCGCTACTAGTAGCAACCGGTTTCTTTCTTAGCTCCTTCACTTCATAAGCTTTTTCACTCTAAGTCTATGTTTTCTTCCTCACTGAGTGCCGGACGGTGGACCCTGTGGACCAAAAGGAGAGGTCGTCAGCATGATTCCTGCTTGGTCAACATCTGCAACTACATCTAATAATTATACATGTAATGAAATGCAAAGGATTAACAAAATCCATCCTCATCCATCCTGAAGAATAAGAAGGGGCCTTTTTAGTCTTGTGGAGTTATTGAAGTTCATTTCGAGCATTCCAATCCATCAACTGGAGAACCAACTCAATTTCTGGCCCAAGACACGCTCATCGAAATTGCTGTACCTATTGTCCAGCAAAAGCCTCGCACATGACAGGTCATGCCAGCAAAAACCTGACAGCTTTGCAACAATCCAACCCTCTAACAACGCATAAGGACGCCCTGCGCTGCCTGCCTGGAATCCGAATCTCCAAACTCATCAGTCTTTGCAGCGGTCAACACCTGGCGATCTTCACTCTGACCATCTCCCTGAGCTCGACATTTGTCCAGGTTTGCTGCATTTGGCGTCCCTCTCAGACACAAACTTTGCATTTGAAGCCACCGTGTTTAACCAGCGGCTTGCGTAACGCTGCTACGTTCTCGCAGTGTAACGCTGCACGAACTGAGTCCTTGAACTGCATAAAAAATGGTTTTCAAGCGCGGGCATGATTTGTAACTCCCCGGTCACCTCGTCCACAGTCAAGGAGATGAGTTCGCCGGGAGCAAACTGCTTCAGGATACTTCCGGAATGATTCAACAGGACCTGACTCCAAGCAATGCACGGAGCGGAACGGGTTTTGTCTGTGAGACGTGTCGCAATACGACATATTACCGGACGCTTCGCAAATGAGCGGAACTGAAACTAGCAGTGCATGATATGAAATGATCATACAGCTGAGTCATTCTGGGTCTAACTTCAACCAACTGACTCTGATCTGATTGAAAAATGAATCAAATTGCGTGCCGGATTCTGTGATCGTGGCCGTCGTCACTCCGTCTGAGGAAGCATCGCTGCTCCCGAACAAGGTCTCCCTGGGTTTGGCGGGCGTCTAGGCGGTCGCGGTCGGCGGACAGCCCAGTCCAGGCAACACTGGCAGCACGTCATATTCATATTCGGAGCCACACCCCAAACAAAGGGGATGGCTTTTGCAAAGACTGGTGCCTGTGGTACATCTCACCTGGCCTTTTTACGAATGTCCAGGGTCCTTTACAGCTCTTTCAGCTGTCAAAAGAGGAGAACGTGCTGAACGAGACTTGCGCTCGCTCTGGGAGTTGTATTGACACTGCATGCCGAGATGATGTGTAAGATCTTCGGAGATCTCGCTGAAGCCATCGAAATGTTCTGCAAAAAGACTGACAGGTCCTATCATGTTCTATAATATACAGTTCTATCTATGAATCTTAGACCGTCATTTCTCTAAATCATCTTGTATCCTGTCACTTCTCAGATCCCTGAGGTTTTTGAAGGGACCTGCAAAAAGCTCAGCAAGTAGTGCTATGCGTGAATTAATTGTCGTGGTAGCCCGGTGTCCACTTCGTTGCAAGATTTGTTCGAAAAAGGACCCAAGTTCCAAAGAAATACATCTCTGTCTTGACCCGTTCCTATACACAGCTCTCAGGTAAACTCTCGGAGCTTCCAGAGCTCGTCCTCTCACTGATGGCCTGAGCTCGCTCCGGATCCGACCCTGTTCACGTCTCTGTTGCAGGGAATTCGACCAGCCAGTTGCTGGCGTTTCTTCTGCAACGGTTGGAACAAACATCCATGGAAGGAAACTAAGCAGGAAAGGAAGCGACAAGAACAAAAGCACTTTTATTTGCAAATGTTCCAAAGACATCCAAAGACTTGAGCAACCAACGACACACAAAAACAAGAAATAAACAAAACATACGTAGTGACTTTAAGGCAGAACATGTGATAAAAACCAAACACGAGAACATGAGCACATATGAGCACTGTCATCGCACGCACCGTCTGACCAAAAGCCACACATTTCGGGTGAAGGCACAGATGCAGTGACAGTCTCTGACATCTATAGATACAGCTAGCATGTATAGCCATCCATCTTCGAGAAATCGTCGGTCTGGTTTCAGCTACTGAAATGGTCTCTCTCCCTTTTCGCCCCAGTGGAGTTTCTATCCCGAACTCCACCCCGTTCGTCGTTCGGACGTCGGAGTCTTCCGGTGCCATGACCGGTCCCGGAGACCAAAATCAGCGAAGCCCCGCGCGCGTTTGGAGATATGTTGCAAGTGATTGATTCAAACATCATCTATATATAAAGGAACTCACACCAAGAATACTTCGACTTTGCAGCTCAGCGTCCGCGTACTCGGGTGAATCGGCGATCTCTCTCCAGAAGCGTTGAGATAAAACGCTCAAGCCAAGGATGAGAACGAGCAATAAACCGCCCAAGTCAGCTACGATAGCCATCCATAAGGCCAAATAGCCAAATAATGCGAAGCCAACCTCCACAATCTTCACCAGGCAGGGAAGGATAATGTTCAACCGCTCAATCCAAACGGCATAGCGACAAAGCCTGATGCACTGTGAGAGTCGTTGCAGCTTGTCGGTCATCATCACCATATCAGCCGAGTTCGCTGCTAACGCTGCCGATGTCTCACCCATGGCGACGCCGACGCTCGCAATGGCGAGCGCTGTCGCATCATTGATGCCATCACCGAGCATCAGTGCAGGCTTGCCTGCCGTTTATGCACAATAGAGCTTTTCAATTGTGTTCATGTTGACCAAGGTTCGCCACTTCACATGTAACAAAAGCCAAGTGCATTTCACATGTTTGGAGTCTGACAGATTTTTCGCCTCGACAGTCTTGCCCGCTGTGATTTCTTAATCTGGGTCACCGACACCCCAGTAATCGGGAGGACTGAGAGTAGCGACACCCCAGTGCAGGACTCAGAGTGGCTGCCCCTCGTGCTCGTTTGAGTTTGAAGTTTTCCAGGGACAAATGAGACAAAGCGAGCCCACACAGTTGGTGTCCCAAAAAGCCACGGTGTTACCGCATGTTACTGCATGTTTCCTTCATCCTGATCTGCATGTTAAGGATTCAAAAAGGGCAGATAAAGACGGAGACGGTCCGGTCTCCGGTCTCCTGCAGGTTTCAAGTCCCCAGGGCCCATTGACAACTCAGGTCCCAAGGGCCGATGCACGGCGATGCTTCCGGCGGAGAAGCGTTTTCAATCGAAAGATATTCAGTTCATTCATGAGGGTTGTACACCTTCATGAGGGTTGCCCTTGCAACCTACCCTTTTTAATACTTTTCATATCTTTTCATCCTGGTCCTTTGGCATGGTGCCATGATTCTTTTCAAGGCATTCCGACGTCGTGCGCTGTACCGACAGCCCCATGCAGCGTGCACGCAGAGGACGCCCCACCTGCCTGAGTCTTCCTGCTTCTGAACCCAATCGTGCTTGTCCTCTGGATGCATTGAGAAGTAGCAAACAGACGGATCCAAACCAGTCGCAATGGCAACCTTGGCTTTGTGGCTTTGACTGGTGACGCAGCCAGGCTTTGAGATCTCAATGTGCTCGGTCTGTCTTTGCAAGTAGGTGTTCTGTCTGTATCGCAAGAATCATGAGCAAAACAAACAACATCAGATCACAAAAAAAAGAAAAAACACTGGTCCTGGTTTGCAGCGGAGAAACATGCCTTCCGGCTGCTTCCGCATCGCCGGTCAACATGACTGGTTCACAGCCCAAAGCGTTCAATTCCTCGACCACTTTGGCTGCATCGCTGCGGATAGTGTCGTTGAGTGCCATGCCAAGCCGCAAGGTGCCTAGGTTGCGCCGTGCGTTGGGACGAGGCTGGGCTCTGAGTGACATGTTTTGGGTCGACCAATTCAAATAAAATCAAATATAAATATAAAACCAAGTGAACGTCAACGTATTGGATGCTTTCATTTTGATCGACATGGTACCACCACATTCATGAGTACCAAACACATCACAGTACACATCACATGAGCAGTAAGTCGCAGCCAATGTACCGTTCACCACCACCGCCACAGTAGTGTCGTGGGGATGACATCGCTGAAAATTGGCGAACATGGATCTGGCCCCGGGATCCGCGACAGCTTCCAAGACTCGATGATTTCCAACGAGAACACTCGCCGTTTTCGATCCAAAAGATACATTGCCTCAGTTGCCCGGCCGCGCTGACACGTCAACGTTTCTTGCCGCCGGCCGGGCAAGGTCAGCAAAAGAAAGGCAAGCAAATAGAACAAACAAACTGCTGCGCAACCGCTGCTCGACCGGAAAGAAAAGCTGCCAAGAATAGCTTCAAAATCACTTCAACTCGACCTATGGCTTCTTTGTTGGGTTGGACCACCAAACTCGAACATGATCAAACTAACATAAATATCATAAATTAAACTACTTAACCAGGCACAAACATGGGCACACAAACACACAAACCACCCCAAATAAGCACGACTTCACCGCCTCCACGTCACCTTGCGCGCCGACGCCTGGGAGGTTTTTGAACTTCTTCACGGCTGGCTCGTCGGCGGTTTCGAAGGCCTCGCCCACGCAGCCCACGGCCTTCGAGACGATGGCCGCACTGATGGGATGAGCGGATTTCCTTACCGCGCAGGCTCACCGGACCGGGGGAGGTACCGGTTTACGGTGAGGGAGGAGTTCAAGATGCGCGAAAATGGGAGGTTCTATATAATTGGACTTAGACTTAGTATAGAGCATCAAAATTGTGGAAAAGCATCAAAATGCTTGAATATACGGAATAGAACTGATAATAGATGATAATTGGATCATGGAACCATGGGAAAGTCGATGAACCCTGGCAGGCAAAATCCCACTTGGGAACTCCAGCAGCGTCCTGCGCTCGTTGCGCTCGCTGCGCTTGTGGTGTCACGTCGCTCCTTCAAGTCCGTACCGGCCAAGCAACATCTCCACAGCTGCAGCCATCTTGAGAGGGTCCAAATCACCTGCATCTTCGGGCACGGAAAAAGAATAAGCTACTAGGAGCAAAAAGGGCATCGCCACTAGGGGCTCCTGGCATCGCTACTAGGAGCAAGGACGCTACGAACGGGGCTCCTGGCCTTACTAGGAGCAATGTTCGCTACGAACGGAGCTTGGACAGCCTGGCTGACTTGGACGGCGATAGGGGGCGTTTTGCAGATCTTCTACGGACATTTGTGGAGGGTCTTTTCGAAGGCGTGATCTTTCTAAAAGAACCGCGACGAACAAAGCCCGCGAACGAACCGCGTCGCGTCGCGTCTGTTTCGCCTGGATCACTTCCTTGCACAAATGTTTCGACGTGAAGGACCGCAAATTCACCTTTGGTGAGCGTCCCGGTCTTGTCCAGACCGGCAGAGCGAATCGACGGCCTCGGAGGCGCTGGACCGCAGCAAAATTGCAAATCCAAAGAAGCACAAACCATTTCCTGTATAATACGGTTACTGATACTGCTAATGAAATGAAAATACAATAATAATGTTCCTGTTAATGAACATAAACAATTTGATAATACTGTTACATGTTACTGTTGTTATGATTTGTTATGTTGATGTCATGTTATTTACATTTCAAACAAGTTGCAGCAGCTCCACTGTCTGTGGCTTCTTGATGAGCACTCCACGGGTGGCAGCAGCTGCAATCGCACACGTGGTGGCCAAAGGAGCACCAATAACGATAGCACAAGGACATGCAGTGAGTAGGATCACCAAACCACGGTGGATCCAATCATGAAAGCTCTCCCCAGTGCTCAAGGGCACCACTGTGCACACAATGAGGACCTGAAAAATGTGTCCGGGTACGACTAGAATCAACAGAAACTGACAGAGAACCACATCCTTTGAGTGAATGGAAAGACTGCAAAGATTGGACACATCATCAAAATCGATGGATCTTCCCCGAAATACCCCATATGGGTGTTTAAAAAGTACGCACATGTCACATGTATGCACCAAGGCGCTGTCAACAGGACGACAGGCGTCCAAATGCGAGCAAATCTCTCTAAGACAAGTTGTTTGCCAGTCCTCTGCATTTGAGCTTCTTCCACCTGGATGTCAACATGCTAAGCTCTTCTCGCCACCCAGAACAAAACATTTCACCAAAATGCTAACTACCTGGCAACACTTGCTTTTCACGAGCAAAAAGTGGTCCCAGGCCTTCGCTTCAATCTGCGAGAGGGTCGAATTCGAATAGTCTTTGGTCAAGGTCACTTCGACATATCCGTTTAAGATCACACATCCTGATGCAATCTTGTGCTGCTTCTTCTTCTCCACAGGACGTGCTTCACCAGTGATCGCCTTCGTGATTCGGTTCGGTCCGGCCGCAGGACCGGGTCTGGTCTGTCCTGTCTGGCCAAGGCACCGCTTCGGAACAGGAGGCTGATCCTCGAGTCACCACTCCGTCGGCAGGACATTCTTCACCCGGACGCAAGGAAATCACATCTCCTGACAGGTACTGCTCAGAGGCTCTGCTACACACGTCAGCGACAAAACTGCTCAAGCTCAACCTGTCCTGTCTGACATCTCCTACCGCAAAAAACGCACAAAAAAAAAAGAAGCAAGTCGGCTCATGTCGGCTCTGTCTGAACATGTTCTGAACTGGACTGCTTTCCATGAAAGCCGCCCGATGACGAGTCCACAGCGCAAACGAATGGGACGACGACTTCGACACGTCTCCTTCTTTCAACTCTTCGGCCGCGACCATTCGGCCATCTTGTGCCAAAGAAACCATACGAATCGTCTCCAGTTGCATGACCTCGAAGCGTTATGGTTATATTATATAGATATGGTTCCTCAGGATTCCGAACTCTTTTCGATGTTTTTCTGGTTTTCCGGATCGTGTTTTCAAGTCGAACACTGTTCTTTTGCGTCTGCGTTCTCTGTGTGAACCTCTGGGTGGATGTTCAGACCTTGCTCTCTTCGCTCCGGTCCTTTACAGTTATGGCAGTTGTGCCACTTCCCAGGAGCGAACGGGGAACCTGTCAGACGGGTTCTCCAACCGACCCTTCACCTCCGTTTCGGCTCCGATCCCCGACCCTTTTTTTCGGGGTTCCAAGGCTTGCGAAAAGCGCCTCTCGTGCGGGCGTGTTGGAACCCCAACTTGGCGCCTATACACTTGTCATTCCAGTACATCACGAACATATAAGTATCACACACGCAATCATCCACGTCCAGCTAATATGATGTATGCTACAGATGTATACATTCATATGATATGTATGTTTGGTGCATGTCTTTTGTCCAAGCGCTGGCCTTTCGCAGACTGCAGTTTCCGTTTCGCAGAACTGACGTGTCCTCGCATTTTTTTAACGGTCACAGACGGTCACGACTCCAATTTCGTCCCTTCCTTGTTCCTTCCTGAAAGCGAACCTCCAAGACACATCAAGACACATTATGCATTAAACATCATTAAACAACAAAGACAAATGAAAAACAACAAGCTGTCCCAACCAGGTGACAGTTCGCAAGGCCTTGGATACACGACTCATGGCAATTTGCTCAATCACCTGAGCAGCATTTGCATCGGTGTTTTTTGCACAAATTTTGGTGAGTAAAAGATGAGGCAAGGACACCATGCGACAAAGATAGACAGAACATGACAGAACTGATGTCTCCTTGGCTTCTTGAAGCCTTCAATCATTTTGATTTCAAGTCCATCCTGGTCATCCATGCATGGTCATCCATGGTCATCCGGTCTCTAATTTCTTGGTCCGCCTTGGCCAAGTTATAGAGGACAATGACCAAAGCAGCATCTGCCATCTCTCCCTGCGCCACGGCACCTCCAGTGGCGATCACGACCTCAGACGCCGGCGGCGGCGGCCGGGGCGAAGCGTTGCTCGGTGTCTGGTTGAAGCAAAGCGGCAAGTGCGGCCAAATCAAGCTGGCACTTGGACAAGTTCACACCAGCTTCCCAAAGAATAAATGGAATCCCAATACAAATCGCTGCGATTTGGCAGCCAAGTCCTGCCTTGCAAGACATGAGAGGGTGTGCTTCGGTCAACATTGGCAGGTCGAGGACCATTTCGTTGGTACAAAAAACCACCTCTACCAGAACCCCTGCAGCCAAAAGCACCGAAAAGGGTGGCAATTGTGGGCAAATCCTTGTATCAAGTGCAGTGGTTGGGGGCGTTGGGGGCCTGCGGCGGAAAACCGGGTGCAAAACCTCACGATTCTTCAAGCAGCATTTGGAACCTCCACATAAATCACTTCACCTCGCAACCACCAAAAAGCCAAGAGTCTCAAACACTCGCCCAACCCAAAAAAAGCACCGCAGGCCACACCCAGGCCCCTTCGGCCTAGTCAGTTACCGTTCTGAGATTCTTCAGTGAACACACATAAACTCACGGATCACTTCCCTTTCAATTCTCAGTCAGTACGAAAAGTCAATAACCGTGGTCGTTCTTGCTTTGATTGCCTGCTCGTCGTGCCCCAAGGTCGCATGCAAGATGGCGCCTGGGCGTTGTTCAATGATAGTGAGTTTGACCGTGCTAAGGCAAGGCCACACAACGAAGGTGGGCGAAACGCAGCTGAGTTTCCAATGATCAGCAGAAGTCCAGACAGCAGGACGGAAAGATGGCGGATGTGCAGCTGGAACCAAAGCAAAAAGTCAAACTCGATGATGTCGTCATCAGCTCCTGCACCCTGACCTCACGTGGCGGATGTATGGACTACGTGGCGGATAACTTTGGAAGACATTGGATGATTAAATATGGTGAATTAGTCTAATTAAAATCGAATTATTCTGTTTCTACTAGCAAACATTGTTACTACTATAGTAGACTTGTTACTAGTAGCGATGCACTTGTTCCTAGTAGCGAACCTTGTTCGTAAGAAGCGATCGCTGGAAACATCGTCCCTCTCTGTCCAGTGCTTGCCGGGGGCACCCAGCAGCGCAGCGCCCAGCCCCGACTTGTTCAAGCGATCGAGGATGGCTTCCGGCGCAAGGCAACAGGGAATTGGACAATGCGCCTGGGAGGAGCTCCGGAGGAGCTCCGGAGGTGTCCGCACGAAGTCGTCCGGTGATGCTGAGAGGAGTTCCAGCTCCGGCTGGGAAACCACACGAGTGGGTCTTAGTATGCCTGAGTGTTGGCCTTGCAGAGAATAAGTGTAACTTGTTTGGAAGGTTGGCGACTGTTTCACTTGCATGTCCCTGTGAGGTTGAGGTTTTGCCTCATCACTCAGCTAGCCAAGAAAGCCGCCACCTTAACACTTGAGTAAACTTCACACCAAAGACACTAGGGACAAGCTATGTTCTTCCAGGCTGGGACATGCATTTGTGGACCGGTCCCATATCTGGTCTGCGCGGGCGACCAAGACGAACCACAGGTCACCACAGCAGCCATCGCACCGTTTACGACCAGGACGCGTTCCTTTTCTTGGGAAACAGGTTGTTTCAGTGAATAGTTGGAAGACTCCGAATCATGCACCAGACCTCCAGACCTCCAAGTGACCTTCAGATGTTGCGTTGTTCCAAATGACTTTGAACGACAAGAGTCACATGAGTCATTCTGCCAAAACATACTGGAAGAAGTAAAGGACATGATGAAAAGCAAGGTAACATCGCTTTTGAGAGGGCCCCTATCGCTTTTGCAGGTGTTGGCCAAATTCTTGCAATTCACGATAGCTCTTTAGAAAAAAAGAACATAAAACACATCCACTACACATTTTGTCGTCTGCTCACTCGGCAAACTTGTTAACACCCACTGCGCTTGATAGCAATCCCCGCAAAAAGGCCTTTCCAACCCCTTCAGCAGTTGCAACCAAGTCCAACCCCCAAAGTCATGACAAGAAACTTCTACAACGTCAAATCCACTCACACGTCATATCCCCGTCCTCAAGGAAAGACGTCATGTCGTCTCCAGCGCCCCCCCCTTCTGTGCAACTGAGTTTCCACGACGCAAATCTTGGAGAAGGGATTCATCGAGACGGTTTCCACGCCCTTCAGCGGTTCCAAAATGCGCTTGATGAGCCGGACTTCGGCGTCGCAGCAAATGTTGCGAACGCTGAGCCTGCCGCGACGAGCGGCCCCCGAACGCGTCACGGTGTGGCCAGTGTGGCGACGCCCCAGTCGACGTGAAGATGGGTGTCGGAGGGTGGTGGAGGGTGGAGGAGGGTGGAGTCAATGGAGTCTGGATGGAGCTCCACCACCTCGTCCCACAAGGCAGAGAGGAAGGAAGGACGTTTTCCAAGAACCACAGTCCTCGGAAGGAGTGGATCTTCTGCCAAGCAGATCCTACCGTCCTAACTACTATCATGTCCTATCCACCGTAGTGATTGTATTGGGCAAGGGGATGAAGGAGGAAGGCAAAAATTGGATGGCACAAAACAACAGCACAGTACGTTGGTTTCCAGGGCCTGGTCTTCACCACCTCGTGGGGTCTGCAACCCCTCACAGAACAAATCTCTGGCAGAGCGTGACCACAGCAAGCACTGCAAATTTCCTCAGGAAGGAGAAGGCTGCTTGCACTTCTTCCTTAGGCGCCAGGAGATACGCAGGAATCGAATTTCTCTCATGAGCCGAGAATGAATAAAAGTCCAAGTGGCTTTGAGAGAAGAGTGACATAAAGCTTGTGCGGCTTCTGGCAACTCAGATGGCAAAATGGCTTCGAATCTCCTACTCAACCAGCTTTGCAGGTCGAAGCCTTTCAAAGGCTTCTTCGCTCTTACTACTACGTGTCAATGTGCCTTTCGGGCCTGTAAATTTGCATCCAGCAGATTGATGAGTGTGTCTGTGCGTCCAGTGCTGTCAGGCGTTATTTGTTGTGAAGAGATGCATATAGATGCATTCTTCTTGGAGTCCATTGTAATAAAATGTCAAAGTGGACACAAAGCATTAGCACCCATCAGGATCCATCCAAACACTTTGCCCTGCCCTTCTTAAGAGAAAAAGAAGAAAAGCGTTCAGAATCCTTCGGCCATGCTACAGGTTCTCTGCGATCTCATGGTCTTTGCTCCAGATTTCGTGGTTTGCAGGGCACTTTTAATCGACTGGCCTGAGACGAGAAGAACGAATGGCGGAAGCGCAAGCCGGTGAGCAGCTCGGTGTCTCAGAAAACCGTCCCCAACAAGCATTCATAGCTTGGATCGGCATAGCTTTGGGAGCAAACCTGGAACCACATGGCACTACTATTGGGGGAAGTGAGCATCCCCTGATTGACCATGCTGTCTTGGAGTGCTTACCTCAGGTGTATCATGTCATTGCACAAGCAATTCTGTATGATCATGAGGATTTATAGAGGTATGCTCGCACTAGTCACATCCGTCACATCCTGCCCAAATCCTTCAATCCGCTCCAGGTGGCTCGTGTAGCTGTGCTCCAGCTTGGCGGTATGGCTGTGTTCCAGCGCGGTCATTTTGGGAGTGTTGTCCTCAAGAACTGCCTTGTGTCCGCCATGACCGTGACCATGACCATGTGCATGACTGCTCTCATGGCCATGTCCACCATGAGAATGTCCGGCATGAGAATGTCCATGTCCTCCATGTCCTCCATGTCCTCCGTGTGCCCCGTGTGCACCGTGTCCTCCGTGCCCACTGCATTCTTCGTCACTACATTCATCCTCACTGCTCTCATCATGGGAATGTGCAAAGCCACATCCACATTCTTCATCGTGACTGTCGTCATCACTGTCAACATCAACTTTTGCATGCACGTGTGCTGGGCTATGACTACCATGACCAGCATGACCGTTGCAATGCCCACTCTGCCCATGCTCGTGGCTGTGCCCATGGCTGTGGCCATGGCTGTGGCCATGGCTGTGGCCAGCACCATGTTCGGCCTGGCCGTGACCACACATGTGGGCCTGGTTGTCACCATGGCTATGACCACCATCAGCGCCGCCAGTGGTCATGGCAATGAACAGGCCAAGCAGCCCAAGGCTTTGCGAACTGTACAGCTCAATGAGTGAAATGGCTGCAGAATCAGTTTCGATCGGGGAAAACACAGCGCCATAGACCCCAAGGGGCCCCAAGATCATGACATGTTCATGATGTTTGGAGGTGACATGACATCCCAGACCTTTGGCAGACGCGATGCGACGCGATAAGAAAACGGCCTGTTTCCCGACAAAGAGTCAGCTGGACGGTGTACAAAGTAGTCATGGCCTGGCGAAATGAGGACGAATGAGGACGAATGAGACGCCCTGTGGCACATCAAAATGGTTTTAAACATGTGAAACATGGGGATTCTAGATTCACTGATTCACTGTTCTATTTGAGGGTTCGCTAAATGTGCAGTCTATTTGGAGGATGCATGTTAGTTGTAGCATGTTGTAGCTGAAACTCCTTTGCTTCCTGTGAATTGGAAGTGAAGCTTGCAAACAACAGAGCACAATTCCATGCCATACACTCCGACGAACACATCCCATGGAAGTAGAAGGCATGGGCCTACGGAAGAACATGTTCCTTTACAAAACAGGTGGTGAACTCCACTTCCATGTGATGTGTTCGTCGGAGAGTGCCTCATGCGGCATGCGCTCCTTTTGAACGGCAAATCGGTGACATTCACCTGACGGCCGCTTTGGCTTTCCCTGTGCGAAAAAGCGGCTCACTTGTCCCTGTGAATCACAATACGTAGCCTTTATGTAGCCTTTATGATCCTCTATCCACCACCCATCTGGTTCATGATCTTGTCGTAAAGTTTCAATGGAAGACCCAGAAGAGTGTTTGTGTCATAGTCCTTGTCCGCTCTCGACTTGGACGAGCGAGAGGAGAACCAAACTCCATCATCGGATTGCAGGCGAAGGCCAGCATCCAAGGGCAGTCCCATCTGGTAAGACTCCATATCAAATTTACTGCCCGCGCCTGCTCCTGCTTGAACCGGAGGTGCCATCACAGGTGGTGCCATCACTGGCGGTCCCATCACAGGTGGTGCCATCATCGGCGGTCTCATCACAGGTGGTCCCATCACAGGTGGGGCCATCACTGGTGTTGCATAGCTGGGCAAGGGCTGATCGCCTGCATCTGCCAGCAAACTTTGCACTTCCTGTAGGTTCATGGTGATATGTTCAAAGGAGGCTTCTGGAGAGATCTGCAAAACGTTCTTTGAATGAGCAGCCCAAGATCGGCACAGCAAACTGGCAACGAAACCCAAGCGGAAAGAAACCATGGCACTTCCAAATCCCAATATGAAGCCTGACAATAGTGGACTACCTGAGCCCAACGGCGACCCCAAACGGCGGTTCGCTGAAGCGCACGCTCGTTTTCGAAGGTCCCGATCTCCAGGCTCCTCGTCGTAAAAAGCAGCCAGGTGTACTAAAGGCAAGCTTGACGGCTGTGATTCCCGGTACAAAGTAATGCCTGGCGCACCACGTGGGAAACCAAGCCGCGTCGAAGATTTTACATGGAACGACCATGGCGACGGCTGAGTGAGCGGCGCTGGGGACGATGGATTCCCCATTCCAATCGTTGACACATCCTGCCAGTCGTTTCAGGAGGAAACAAGAAACGTTGAGAAACAAAGCAAAACAAAGCTGCACTCTCAAGAAGAACCAAACAATGCAAGCAAGCATTCTCGAAACTCTCAAACTCTTAAAGCAAATTTCCGGTTTTGCCACACCAAAAGCAAACATGAAACATGTGTTTAGGATCGGTGGTCCGAGAAGAAGGTGGGGACGAATGTGCCAGATGACGAATCCCTGAGAACATGGCGAGACGATGTGCTGCTTTTTCTGCAATCTGCCAGCGAGTTGAAAATTATCCAGTTCTCATGCTGAAGAGTTCTGCAAAACTATGGGCTGGGCATGGTGAGCTCTGCCTCATTGATGCAAGCTTGGTTGAGGGCACCTGACTGATGAGCTCTGGCAGGTTTGTCACCGAAAAAATAAAGAAAAAGAGATGTCAAGGAATACAAGTATCCTGACAACGCCCATTATGATCTATACGACATATCTATACATTACATATCTATATACTAACCTATGCATGAGATCATGATCCATTTCTCAATCCGTTAGCTAATCTTCCTGTGCCGCGGACTTTCATCATCACACAAGCGAGTGCATTGGATGTTGGTGTAGTCGAAGCCTCACAACTCTTCAGAGCTGTTGGTGTAGCAAATCGCACCATTTCTCGGCACATTTTGGCGCTAGAATGTAGTGATCACCAAATAGATAGACACGGTTTCCAATACATGTTTAGTGGGGATCTACTTGTCAATACTTTTCTATCTATTTGGAGGAGTGTAGTGATGACATTGATTGAAAGAAAAGGACCTGAGACTGACTCACCCGTTGCCCGCAAGAAGAAAAAACCTGAGTGTGCGACTCTTTGCTGTTGGGTTTGAAGGATTTGAGTAGGTGTACTCAAACCTGGGCCGTCCCAGACAGACCCAGACGTTTCCCAGCTAATGGAGTGTGACTCCCTTTCTGTCGAGAATGTCGAGAGACTTACAGCTCTGTCCAAGCTAACGAGTTGTTCGCACGCCCTGTCTGTGAGGTCCGACATGTTGGGCTGTGCACAAAAGCCTTCACTCCTGACACGGCTCTTCACGGCGTGAAACACGGCGTGAAACACGGCTGGACAGACAATACAGTCGACCAATGTCGACCATGTGTTCCAGAGTTTTTCAGCGGCAGTCACGTCTGCACAAGACTTGAATCCTTGCAAGTTACAAATTCCTCACCTGTCTGCTTCCATCGCTGTGTAGGCTTCTGTCATTGACAAGCCTGATCCAAACCTGCGCAGCAAGGGCAGCAAGGATGGGGCAATCGGTGTGATGCCAAATTGTAAGCGATGCCGGCTTGACTAGACTGACTTGTATATCAACTAGACTAGCACTTTTTCCATGCCAGGATGACGGCAGCATTGAGACAATGCCTTTCGCCTGAATCGATGTTCAAGCAAAGCTCCGCAGATAAATGGATACGGAAAATCCTCACGGTCGCCACCGGTCGCCACCGTCTGAAGTCTGAGGCAACGGCTGGAGATTGGATGGCATATTGTTCCAGCTCGACAAATCTCCAAATGGCCGCAATCCACAGAAAGAGAACCAAGCACCAATACCTTTAAATCATCAACAAGCTAAGCACCACATCATGCCACATCGAACCGGTCGGAGGATAGAGATTCGGATTGTCATGGGTCCGGCCACGAGGACGTTCGATGCAACGACTCTATTGGACTCGTTCGATCTCTACACGAGGACCGTGGTTTCATGCCGGGCGAAAAGAAACGCTCGGTGTCGGCGCACAAGAGGAACAGCCGGGGATTATGAATCACCTGGGAAAAGTCATGCGCAGCAGGTCGCAGCAGCACAAAAAGGATCAAAAAGGTCTGCATGTTCACCAGCGGGCACTCTGAGGAGCTGGCAACCCACTTGGGAAGGTAGCAACTGCCAAACCTGTCGTCGTGTCGCATGTCGTCTCAAAGGTCTTTGGAGTCTTTGCAGTTGCCCCACACCAAACAGGAAGCCAAGGATCAATGTGAAACATCAGAATTACACCAGAAACATTCTCAGCAATTCGATCCTCCAAACTGCCTTTGCTGCTTTCGGTGTTGGATTGCGCTGTGCCATACATGCGCACAGAATCGCACAGACATCTGGCCCCTCAGCTCATCTCCGTGCCTTACCATGACGCAGGCGTGGCCGTGGCAAGCTTGCTAGTCCGGAAGGGCCATCAGGCCCTTTCTTGAGCCGTGTTGAACGAAGCCGTGTTGAACGAAGCCTATTTATACTGCTCACTGACTTCGGCCCGTTGAGTTCAACGTGTCCTGACATGTTAAACATGTTGTACATGGCGCTCCAGGTAACCATCATGTGTCGTTATGTGTCGTCTTTTTCTGCGTCAGCTCGCAGGCAATTCATGTTCACTCTCCATCAGCTCCTCGTCGCCCAGGTCCTCGTGCACGGACCACTCCGGGGTGCAACAAACTCTCTCCACGATGGACAAAAAAGGACCGGCGAAAACGGCGAAAACGGAGCCTTCTGCAACGGCAATGAAGGCCCATGGCCAGTCCGACGCCGCCTGTCGGTTGACCAAGCGGCTTTCAATGCTTTTCAGCTCTTTTCCATGGGGGGAAGTGAAGCTGAGCAACAAGAAGCTAGTAGTAACAAGTGCCACGCTAGTAGTAACAGGTGCCTTACTAGTAGTAACAAGAAGCTAGTAGTAACAAGTGCCACCTAGTAAGGCACCTGTTACTACTAGCGTGGCACTTGTTACTACTATAGCTTCTTGTTACTACTAGTAAGGCACCTGTTACTACTAGCGTGG